GGGGTGCTGACGTGTCGCATGGAAATTATCATTGTTCCCTGAGATGTTCTGGTTGTTCACCATCAGTCGCACAAGACTTTGTGATGCAGAGTCGATGCGATGATGAGCATTAGCTCATTTAAATATCTGTAGATGTTATAGTTTCTAGTGTGACATGAATAGCACTCTGAACCATAGACAGCGGCATATAGAAACAGCGGGATACTGCATGGCACGACAGGTCTGTTAACATCTGCTGTTGCCTAAGAATCAACTTTACGGATCATCACAAGTGCAACCCACTGTTCCTCAGGTATCGAAATTAGTCTCTTTATAACTGCGTGTTATCTAGCCTAAGGTATTCCCATAAATAGCTGCCTTTGTGTTGCTGATATTTGTAGAGCTAACCTCACTATCTGCCCTCCTGTTAGTCTAACATGTATAGTTATCTGTACAACAATACCAGAAGTTTACTGATACGATTGTTTTTATGACGTTTTTTGGGGGGTAATAAAAAATTATGAAATGGGCGCAACCTGTGTCAAAATTTGGAAACTGTTGGAAATGATTCCTCCATGTGTTACTTGAAATACCTGTACGGTTGCACCATTCTATACCTTATAGTAAATATATATACATATATATGTGTGTGTGTGTAATAATATGACAACCACGCTATATCTTCCATATCCAGTGCCGGTGAGGCCTTTCGTCCAATACCAGTAGTAGTGGTCAAGGCACTATTTATATAATCAGTTGTATGAACAACAACTGATATGTGGGGGAACTAGATTATGCAATTGCTGTAATTATCATGCTTTTGTTTAACTGATTTACAAGTCATAATGAGGTAAGGATTAGTAACACATTGCTATTTATTTCATTTTTAACACCAGTTATTTATTAGTTTTTATTAATTTGAAATAACTCAGAAGAACTGTCGAACTGGTAAAATAGTCTTCTTGTTCCCGCCAAAACGCCAATGAGAGGAAACTACATTACTAATTCTAAGCATATGAGCGTTAGGATCACCCAGAGTCTCAGTATAAATATTACACCAAACTATCAACCAGACTTTGAACACACACAAAGTAAAAAAAAAGACGAAACTGTTTACAATCTCCATCACCAATTTATCTAGGTGGCTGAAAGTGTGTAATGCTCAAAACTACAATTCTCAACTTGTCATGATATGAAGTGTTACCTATAATATGACCTTTTATATGCGACTTAAGTGTTCTTTCTAGGAATGGTATTATAGATGAACGTCAACGGATCGTAAACCTTATACATAGAATAACTACGCAGAAGGAAACACAAAATTATAACATTATTCCAGGACTTAGGTTTGTTAATTACATCTAACAAGAAAACACTAAAGGTTAGCCGGTTTCTGGATTCAGTTCTGTAAATACAACACCAAAAAAGAAAAGGAACAAAACGTTAGCGTTATTCCTGGACTGAAGTAATGTGAAAAAAGAGAAACTGAAGGTTATCATTATTTATGGACTGAATGTTATAAATACAAGTAATGAGAAGGAAAAGGTTATCATTATTCCTGGACTAATTCCTGTAAAAACAAGTAAGAAGAAGGAAAAGAGAAACTAAAGCTTTAACTGTTTCTGGATCCGATATTATAAATACAAGTAATAAGAAAACAAGAATCTAAAGGTTAGCATTTTTCTGGACTTACAGAAGTGAGTTATATTAAAACGGTTTTGGAGTTTCACCACGTCGTTATAGAGGCCCGGCATGGCCAGGTGAATAGGGCGCTCGACACGCAATCTGAGGGTCGCGGGTTCGAATCCTCGTCCAACCAAACATGCTCGCCCTTTCAGCCGTGGGGGCGTTATAATGTGACGGTCAATCCCACTTTTCGTTGGTAAAGGAGTAACCCAAGAGTTGGCGGTGGGTGGTGAC